GAGGAAGTGTTAGCCTTGCCTGCCACGGTAAGCAGCCGCGCTTGGTAGTGCAACCCACCGAACAGATGTAAAAACGAGAGCCGACCCAACATGCACCCGTCAGACGTTACCGAGGCGTTGAGGAGTGGCAACAATGACTCCTAGAAAAGAAAAGCCAGATCTGCCAGAGAAGTTCGTACGAGTTTCTTGGTTAGCAGTAGCCCAGCACCCCGTAGTTGCTGCCAGGGGAGCTTCAACGGTGTCGTCGATGAATGCCTGTGATTGGCCGGTGGGGGCTCGAGCTTACTGGGGCCACAGTTACAACTCGGCTGGTGTGGATTGACAGCAGGTGGTGGCCTGTAATGTGTCCCGGCGGGCCTCCAGGAGACACCTGCAGCGGCCCTTCAACCACCGACCACCGGCATTACGTCGATCAGTGGCTGTCTGTGTCTTTCCACCAATCACTCCAATACAGTTCGGCAGCACATTTCAACATGTGTTCGTGAATTGCTATGTATCTCACTGTATCACCAACCTACAGGACAATAGTCTACCTATTATACCTACCTACCCAACAGCTAATGTCCGGGTATATAATCTTCTATTACCTACAATTTCCATTACTTGAGCCCCTGCCGAAATGACCACTTTAAGAGTTCCTAACCTATACTGCTTCATATTCTACAGCAATCGCGACCGCAGTCTATTATCACTCCCTTCCTCTATCTCTAGCGTATATCTAGACTACGCGTCGATTTGTTGTAAGGATAACATTGTTCTGTAGTCGCTAATTTAAATGTTGAACGCAAATTTACTGTCCGGCACAGTTACATGGGTATACACTTTCAACGGATGTAGAGCCAACCATTGATTTGATACAACCTCTTCCATGTCAAGCTTCAATACGATGCCGTGAAACGGGACGTGCTAGAGAACTTGTCATGCAAAGCGGTCACGGAGAAAACACCACTCATAATAATGTAGACAGGCTGCAATAGTGCCCAGATAATTGTGATGATAATAGTACAGCAAAGACAAACAGCGTAAAAAACCCAGGCTTGTCATGAACGTCCATAACAAGACCACCTCTAACCCGTTTTAAAAACTCTTTATCAGTATAACGCCTTTATTCTGCCACTCGCTTCTTTTCGGAATTGCCTGCCACGACATTGTCATCCTTGGCTTCCGCTTGAGCCAATTTTTCCTGCTTGGGCTTGGGCTTCTGTCGACTGGCCTTGGGCTTTTCCCGATTAGCCCTGGGCTTCTCCTCATCAACCTCAGACTGCTCTTGCTTGGCCTTTGATTTGCCCTTGCTGGTTGCAGGCTTCTCGTCCTCGACCTCAGATTCTTCCTGTTTGACCCGTGACTTCTCCTGCTTGGCTTTGGGTTTGCCCTGATTGGTTGTGGCTTTCTCGTCTTGGGCAGCCGGCTTCTCTTTGTTAGTGTTTTGCTTTAGTTGAGCGACCTTTGCTTTCTCCTCCTTGACCCGTCTCTTCTCCTCTTCAGCTGCTTTCTCTTTTAGCTCCTTCAGCTCCTGTTTGTCTTGCTCCCAAGTGTCAGCGCCATCACCGAACTGCTCCTTCAGTTTCGCTGCCTTGGCCTTCTTCTCTTCCTCCTCCTTTTCCCGCGCGATCCGCTCCTGTTCCATCTCCTAGGGACGACAGTTAGTATGCTGACTGAGGCAGTCGATGTTACAATTCGAACACTTACTTCCATATGCTTGATATCATCAACGCTGGGCTCGTAAAGATGCCAAATAACGTAGTGAGGAAGGCCCACGACAGAATACTTCATGCGCTTGGCCATCTGAAAATGAATTAGTATATTTTCGAATCCTGTATGGTTATGAGGCACGCACCTTTCCGAAACCCTCAGTTTCGGCATGCTTCTGGAAGCTGAAGGCGGGGAAATGGACGCCAGTTCGGAAGACCTTGGCCTTGGCAAGAATACTGACACCGCCGACGCCGTCAATCTCCATTTCCATGTCTGGGTCGCCGTAGGGGTCTCGAAGGTAGGCTAAATGTGGTCGCCATGTGGCGTACTCGGCGTAGCCCTCGACGATGACGGCATCTTCGTCCAAGGTGTCTGCAAGCGCGAGGGCGGTCTCGGATTCTTGCCATGAGTTCAAATCATACGGCTGTTCACCACCAAGCCAATCGGGAAGGGGTCGCCAGACATCTGCGAAATTGTTAGTTCTACACGTTCGTCGGAGGGATAGAGGAAATACGTGCTTGGAACAATGACATCCTTGTTGTGTCGCATGAGATCCTCCAGAATCGTAAATGGCGCGGTCTCGACATCCACGTCTCGCCAATACACCCACGAATGGTAAGGACGAAGGGCGGCGCTCAGAAGCCAGTTCCGGGCTTTGGCCATTAGCTTTCTTCGACTCGCCTGCGCGGCGAATCCGTGACGACTTTCGACATCCTGGTTGACCTCTTGACCGAAGTCTTTCTCGATGATGGAGATCTCTCCGTATGGTTGTTTCGGATCAGGGTCCGCCTGGATCTGTTCTAGGTTGTCCGAAAGAACCTCGAGGGTTCTGTCTTTCGAATCTGAGACGAGGAAGGCGAGGTCGATGAGGTGGTGCGGGTATGTAAAGTTTCGTAGGTGGGAGAAGAACATTGAAAGATGGGGTTCAGCGTCACGAAGTGGAACGCACAAGAGGATACGCTCTTCACGCTCCCATCCCCTTGCTGTGCCTTGCACATTTGTTAAATCGTAGTATCGTACTGTCTCCAGCTCAAGTTCTGACGATGCGCCGAGCAGGCCCAGCGATAGTACCGAGGCGAAAGCACTCTTGGGCCAAACCCATAATGTAATTAGAATCACGACGAAGAATACGATGCCGAGTCGAACGAATAATCGCTTGCGCTGTCGTTGTGCTGCGATGGATGTGCGAGGTTGGAAGCTGGTAGGAGAACCAAGTTAGCGACAATCGATGCAGGGAAACAGCTATCGGCCGGAGGCAAACCTGTGTGGAGAAAGGTCAAAGGTCTTTTCACGCGGATATCCATTGGAAAAACCGCTCGCTTGATGCCGGGGCATCATCTTGAGGGCTGAAGGAAATACATAAAGAGGTTCCGTGTCGATGGTTGAACCCCTGACAGCCGCAAGCGACGGGTGTCTCTGGACAGTTTTCCAGAAGTCCAGGCTCTTGCAGCAGAAGACCGATAATTAATGCGACCTTAGTGCGCCAAAGCTTGGCAAGATCAAAACACCATTGACGGTGGCAACCGCCTGCAAAACGCGAGCTGGGATAGGAAGGGTGGTTGATTAATTGTAGGCTTTTACATGAGGATTCTGTCCAGGTAGATGTTGCGACGATGGATGGATCTTTTGATTGCCCGACTGCCGGCGGCCTGTCAATTAGCACCTGCCCTCTGTATTTGATACGTAGCGCCTCCAACGCCTGTCTCCTTTTGTCTTCATGTGCAACGAGGGGCCATAATTCCCATACCATCAGACCCCATCCATCCCACTTAATAATCACGGCCTCCTAGTTGTATTTTTAGAGATCTCGCTGTGTTTCATGATCAAGATTTCCACGTCGTCCACCAATATTGGGATGGGTTGCTTCACAGACGGCCAATAGTCACGTAATCCAGGGTTCAAATGAGATAAGCATACTATGGCCTCACCAAGCAGGCTTGAGTGAATGGCTGCGTCGGTATTGGAATTGAGCTGTTGGCATGGAACTACGGCATAGCGGCTTCATATGGCTACTTCAAGGTGGCTTGTACCACAGGGCTACGTCTACGTCTGAATATGGGCTTGCGCTTACGCTAAGATGTCCCTGTGACTTTTCAATTGTTAGTTGTTGGCTCAACGAAAAACGTAAGTAGATGGAAGAAAATAAAAATAAAAATAGTGCTGAAGGTCAGACAAGCCAGTTTACTCAGTCGGCCTGGCCGTCCTAGTCCAGGAACGGTTCAAAACGAGCCATTCCTTTCCCAAGCGCTGGAGTCGAATTACGGGGTAGGCAACTCTACAACCCATCATCACTCGCCAGACAAGTCTGGTAAGCTAAGGTGTGAGAGGACGACTTGGCCAGGACAATCGTTGAATGGATATAACTTGTTATCATCATCCAGACAAGATGGTCTGCAGGTGAAGGAAAAATCACAATGTCGACTTACCCATTGAGATTTTGATGGCACTCGGGATTACCAACTACGGGGAGAAACGAATCCTGGAGAACTTTTTTTGGTCTGTTAGCTTGGTTCTCAACCAGACAGAGCAATGGCACAATGAAGGACAAGAGATCGTATCAGAGATCTTGGTATGGTAAATTGGGAGTCATCACATTGGTTCAGTAGCAGAACTGGATGAAAAAGTTTCTCATCATCGACAGAGAAGAGGGGATGCATAGAAAGAAAATTTGTGTGTTTGGCTTACCTGACATGATCCTCTACTGGGCAAGGAGATCGACGGACTGAAGGGGAAAATCATTCTAGCTTTTGGCACAGTTAGTCGATGTGCGTTTCATGCGTATGAGAAAAAAAATTGACCCAATGAAGCAATAGAGATCAGATGGTAGTGCATGTTTGTTCAAAGCGCTCAGGTAGTCGCGGGAACAGTGGATAGGAAATCATCATGTAGGAAAGGGTGGGAAAATGGTGCTTTGAGGAGAAGCGCGTGAAGCTCGCGATGGCCTAAGAAACTTACCTTCTAATGGTCATTTCACGAGGAAAAAGACTGCAACAAGCTCAGAAGGCCAATTGATGACGGCCATCCGTTAATTCACTGCTCAGCAGGGAATGGACCAAGTCCTGCTCGAGGACATGAAAGAAGGATGATTCTATGTAGAATGTTCTTGCACCGAAGAATTTTTTTTGAAGGAGATTGGAACTTTAGTGTGGACCCATGCAACAATCCGATATGTGCATATAGTAATGCGCTATGCACTAAAGCGGGATTCATGATTTAGTGCATTCTGCAAGGCAAAAGACATACATTTGGGTGGTGATGAACACACAAACTATCACAATTTACAGCACAGGTTGTGAGATTCAGCCAAGATGGCGGACAGAAGACGCATCAATGGGCCTGGGGGAACCACTGTACCTCCCCTCTACGAAGACGACCCATTACCTCTCCCAACCCGGTTGAGATTGCCCAACAGTGTTCGGCCAGTCTGTAAGTTTCTTTCCAACCAGGTGTTCAGCCTGCAGCACCGTCTACGAACGATAAAGCTGAATGAAGCATGCAGATCTCAAAACTGGAGTGACGCCATCTGCATCTGGCTCAGCCTATCTTGAAGTCGAATCTAGGAATGGCGCTCCCACCACCGGCATGAAGCTCTCATGTACCGTCCATGGTCCAAGGTCTTTGCCACGCTCGGCGCCCTTTTCACCCCATATGGTCCTTACTACTCATGTTAAGTACGCTCCATTTGCTACGAAGAGTCGGAGAGGATATCTACGAGATGCTAGTGAACGGGACTTGAGCACGCATCTTGAGACAGCCCTGCGAGGCGTCTTGATTGCAGATCGTTGGCCAAAGAGTGGAGTGGATGTTGTCGTCACCATTATTGAAGGTGAAGAGGCTCGCCAGTTTGCCGTGGACCAGGGAAGTGAGGAATGGGATATGATGAACGTCCTCAGCGCCTGTATCACAGTGGCTGCCGCTGCCGTTGCTGATGCGGGTATCGATTGTGTCGACACTGTCTCGGGTGGTGTTGCTGCCCTCGTCTCCATTACGGATGATGGGAAGTCTGAGATTGTTCTCGACCCAGTTGCGACGGAACACAATGAGATCCTCGCAGCCTGCTGCGTTGCATATCTCCCCAACCGGGATGAAATCACCAACCTATGGCTGAAAGGTGAGGTATCATCAACCGATCCTAGCCTGTATCGCAATTTAATAGCACGTGCTGTATATGCCAGCAAAGGAACGAACCAGGCAATTGTTGGGTCTCTTAACGAGGCGGTCACTGGAGTTTGATCTTTACTCGGCCTTTTTTGATGGACGGCCTTGATCCGCTTCGACAGTCGGCTTTCGGATTTCGAGCTAGCAGCGTCTTCACGACTGCTATAGGCCTCGGGATTGCAACTGAGCATTGGACGGATTGCTTACTAGGTAATTGATCATTGTCGCTGAGCTTACAATTGATCGAACTTGCGAGACCTGCATGGATCTGAAGATGAAGTTGCTCTGATAGCGCAGCGAGATGAGAGGACAAAGCCCTAAGGGAGAGATCGACCGGTGCTCCTACTTTCTTGAGACACATTCTATTTGGCTTCGATAATGCCGAAATGTCTCTGGATGTGCACCCAAGACGGCGGTGTTGAGGAAAGAGGGGGTCATGCCTCAAGCATTGATATCCACAAATGGAAATCGCTCCATAAGTGATTGGCGACTTAGCATGATGTTGAAAGCGAAATCAAACGAATAGAAGTCCGTAGCAAACTCCGGGCACGCATGGCAAATGAGACTAATGGAAATGGTCGGGTTCGCCTTCTTACACTTCTTTCATCCTGCTTTGTTCTGGTGACATGATACCTCTCTCACAGAAGAAAGATTCGATTCAAACTTCATCAAGCTGAGATTGACCTTCCGCACATATTGCTATGTCTAAAATCTAGAGCGGCCATTACTGATCAATTAGAAGGTTGGCTTTGCGGGACGCTGGCTGTTAATTTCCGAGCGAGTTAAGACCTAACGAACTGTACAGTGCCATCTCGGAAACGACGAGAAAGAGCACTGTGCACTTTGTGTTGTTTAGGCGCGTGTTGCCCCACCTTCTCCATGACGCGAGCCGCGATATCGGCACGGTGCAGGTGCTAGCATCTTATCACCCCATAGCAGCTGCCCAGCATCAACTACAACCTAACACTCAACGCCAACGGCAGACTGCTTTGCCAAGCACCAACCGTCCGGGCATCATCACCCTGCGAGACCGGATATTTCTGTTTGTGGCGAATCGCTGGTGCTGATAATCTTCCGGCCTTCAGCATTCTCATTCCGGCAGCAGCTCAGGTATCATGGGCTTACTCTGCACTGCTACCTAATCGATCGAGCCCATCCACCGACCGTGTCGCGAGACACCTCCTCGAATCCCCGCTCGCTTGCTATGGCAGACCCAGGGGTATCTGGCCTCGGCTCTCAGAATGCCACGAATTGGACTGGCATGACGGCCTGGACTGCCAACCTAACCCGCTATGCGCCGTCGATGGAGGACCTTGTCTGGGCTTGTCCTCGGATGTTTAAGCGGCTCGGCTCCTTCATGGCCCCTTCCGATGCTCAGTCCTTGAACGAATCCGCCAGCCAGCTTGCAACCAACCCCGCCGCAGTTGGCGCCGATCTCTTGCGAACCGCGAATGCGACCTTTGAAACTCTGATGGACTTGGGCGAAGGCGGAACAGCCGGGGGAGCCGCGACAGCGGAGGAAGCCACCGTCCGACGGCTGTCCCTCGAAGGAGCGCGTAGCTTTGGGGGAGTTTTCAGCTATGTAACAAGCAAATGGGCATTAGCCTGCATTGTCATGGCCGTCGTCCTCAACCGAACTCATATCTATGCTGCCACCCGGCGTCGTTTACAACTCCGATGGACCGTCCGACTTGTGCTTAGGATTGTTCCAATCATCTGGATATCCGTTCATGCCGTCCGGCTCCTACAGTCTATTCAATGCCAAACGTCTCCAGATTTTGCCGAATTACGTTTTGGAAATTCTAGCATGAAATCGGACCTCATGTTTTCTTACAACAATCCATTCTTTAACCGCCTCGGCGCCACTATTCTCGGCGCTACTGATGAGCAGTCCTGCCGATCAGTCAAGATGATTTTATCAGAAGATGATGATGACACTCGGCATATTCAGGGATCATTATCGGCGCTCTGGCCTTTGTTCCTGAGCTTTTGCTTGAGTAACTTTATCGAGAGTGTGTCATGCACTGTTCAAGGTCGGCCGCACGCATCTGAAGTAGCCATGAGCTTGTTTGAACAGTCACTCGCCTTTGCTGAGGCTGATGCAGCCATAAGCAACCAACTGAGCTGGAGTTCGTTTACAAAAGGCTCAGGAGTCAAGGTGGCAGTTAACGGCACCACTATCGCTTTGACACGGTCGATGATCATGAATCGCGTGAATACGGCTCCTGAGGTTTTGTGGATTGCTTTTCTCTGTGCGATCACCCATGTTACGAACCACATGCTCGGCGTTTTCGACCTTCAAGCCAAGTTTCGATTGTATAACACAGGCATCTGGGCATTCTGCTTCATCGGTACCTTCATCTGGTCGACAGTGACATTTGACTTGGATGACCCTGCGAGTCAAGGCCTGCTACGATTCCCAGCTGTTTGTATTATTGGAATGATACCGCATATTCTTGTCCTTTTTGGCATCATCATATGTTTCTCTATCTACGGGATAGCCTTGATCCTGTCTGCGCTCTCCTCGGGTGGAGATGATGAACGAGCGAGCATGTCGTTCCGCCAGCGTCTGATGCATGCGCACCAAAATATGCAGGCCAATATCTCATTGTCCGAGATTAGGATAACTAGAGAAATGGATATTTACACTGCTTTGTTGAGAACAGGGTTTACTGCGGTCACTATGGCTAGTGAAGCAGTCTACCTCAACGAGGACCGCGGGGTAAGTGTACAGAGTCATACGTGGTTGGATAACGCTCGTCTCCAAGAAGCAGAGGAGATGCAGAGAAATTGGAGTGGCCTCGGGCTCACAAACAGTCAATACGACAACATTGGAGCAATTGGTTTAGTCCCAGTGCAAGGCAAATATGGATACTCAGCAAATGGGTACGCTAGAGAGCGGGCGGCACAGAAAGTTCCAAAAGGTGGCGTTGACCGCAGTATTCGCAATGGAGTGGGCGCGGCCGAGAGAAGCGCTCGCTGGCTGATGGCCCTCGAGCTGTTCCTAACGGTCCATAGACTCTTTGCGCGAATCTCGGCGTTGATCCTGCTATGGATGTTCCGTGTTGCTCGTATTCGAGCCCAGCCCGCATGGCTGCTTCAGATGGCGAACCGATCAAGTGAGAGGAAGGAAGGCAAGGATGAGGACAAATCCAAGGATGGACCAGGAGGCTCGGGTTCTAAAACTGTTGATGAAAATCCCCTCGCTAGGCCCGAGAACCAGGATATTGAAGCCGAGTTCCGACGAAGCGAGCCCTCCATGAACGAGGAGTACCTGGAATCAGAGCTATACACCTACTGGCTTAGGGGTGGATGGTGGGGTGGACATGATTCTAGCGGTGACTTCAGGCCAGCTGCAGTCGACGACGACTGGGATACGACGAGCGTGGTCACGGCTACGACAACTGATGGTGACAGTCAGGATGAGTATGCCTGGGAGTCTGAAGAAGACGGACAGAGGACACCCACTGGACGGTCGCCTCGTCGTTCTCGAGACGAGTCCTCCCTCATCGACAGCCCGTTCTCTATGAATGATTTTGCTCGTCTCCTGCAACCTAAGAGCCGAGAGGAGCGTGAGCATGCCCGCAATTTGGCCGCGCACCTGCAGAGCGACAAGATTATGACAAGGTCGCAATATAGGCGCATCGAGAGCCTTCAGCGAACACGTATCCTAACAAATCCTGGCTCAGGGCCTACCAACGACGGAGTCATGGCAGCACCTGGGCGAGGCGGCAGGAAGCTTTCACCTGATGACGAGGAGCGAGTGCTGGAGCAGCTGCTCCTTGCTCGACGCCAGTCTGCAGCTGTGCCTGCCAGCATGTCAGCTAGCACCTGGCAAGATGGTGCAGCCGGGCTGGGTAGTGGCGGGCCTCCATGCGTTGTTTGCCAGAGCTCACCACGTTCCATCATTGTCTGGCCTTGCCGCTGCCTCAGCTTGTGCGATGAGTGCCGCGTCTCGCTCGCCATCAATAACTTTGACAAGTGCGTGTGCTGCCGGCGGGATGTTATTTCTTTTAGCCGTATCTTTGTTCCCTGAGCGAACTACCAGCGATTAATTACAAAAGGGAAGGCTATAGTGTTGTTGTTCTCTTTCCCGTTGATGATAGCGGACGTTTGTATGTATCCGAACTTTTTAGTTATTGACCACGACTGCATCCAGAGTTTGGAGTTGGCGTCTTGAATTCCCTTTTCCCAACGAAGTATGTCTGTTTGAGGGCGAAGTTTTACGGTTGACATTGAGTCAGCCTTCCTGTCACTTTCGAGTTTTTGCATTGAACAGCCAGAGAATAGTATTATCAATGACGAGGCAAGTTTATATCGAGATTGTATTCACCGTCTTATTATTGTATTATGTTTCTGTCTACATGCCCGCCCATTCGATACTATATGCAGTCACGTTCTCAGGCGCCTCGCCCTTGGAAGGATCGCTCCCGGCGATAACAAAGGCCTTCTTGACGGCCGTGGCGAGCCTGCCCCCCTCGATGATATCCAGGATGGGTATCTCCTCGTCCCAGTCATACTGGTTGGCCATGAAGTGGGCGTGGAACCGTAGGGGATCACCGGGGTAGACACTGTATTCCGAGCCGAACCGCAGACCCGGCGTGGTGTGGTAGCCCCCGTCCTGCAGGTACCGCGCGAGAGGACCCTGGGGGGTATCCGAGACCTCGAACTCGCGGTCTACGTCTGCGGGGATCAGGTCCCTGCTCGAGGTTGGCGTGACGCCGAAATTATCCATGGGGGAATCTGCAACACGGGGGTTGGACGCCGAGGACACGGCCGGAGGAGCACTGGCGAACAGGGTGTCGTCGCCGTCAGAGGGAGCAAGAGGAGCATTGGAAGCGGGAGCAGGCTCGACCTTTGACTTTTTACGTCCGCCCGCCCTACTAGCTGCTACGGCGGCCTTTTGCGCCGCGCGCTCGGCGAGGACCCTGTGGGCGGCGGCCTTGTCTCTGCGGAGGGACTGGATATACGCGGTGCGATCGCTAGGCGACCGCAGGGTTGCCTGGTGCGCGGCGACATCATCTACGACACGGGCAAGGTTCTTGTGGACGAGCGCCTCTGCCTCCTCGGGGCGGAGCTCGATGGGGAGCCCGAGGAACATGTTTTGCGTGGGCTGCTGCGGCAGTGTGCCTACCAGGGAGCCGTTTGTGTTGGCCTCGCGGCGGAGGGCGGACGCGTCCTCGTGGTCGAAGACGAGGTACCGGCCTGCGATTTTGGAGATGCGCGGTAGAGGGCGCGGGGGCCTGGCTGTCACTGTGGTGGTCATGATTGGAATCTGTTTTGCCAACGGGGGGCCGGTTAGCAGATGTTTCGAAAGCCAAGAAGAGAAGTGGTCTTGAACAAGGGTGGATAGGGCAATTAAATCATAAGTCGTCTTCGTATTGATTGAATGTGTCGTCACAGAAATTTCAGTGGATTGACAGATATTCATGTGCATAATCATATAATTGCGTGGATGAAATAAGGGAAAAGCAGCATTGGCTTACCTAGGAGATGGCAACTTGCTAGATTGTGCGTTCTATATATCAGGCTGGCACGCAACCGAACGCCAACAAGAATTGTTGTTGTTGAAGAAGAGGAGGAAATATTTTCGAAGCTTTTGGCGAAAGTTTTAAATGCGTCACTCGGGTGAACCGTGGAAGAACTCGAGCTACTGGCGGTAGTGGGGCAGAGGAGCAACTTTTAGCGCTGCCTCCACCAAGACCCAGTTGCTGGTCGACTCGACGCAGAAAGAAAGCCGGGATAGCTGAGGATCAAAAGTCTAGTGATTCTTTCTTTTTCTTCTCATCTGATTTGGCAGCCTTGGTCTTTTCCTCCTCTTCCTCATCGCCCACTGGCGGCAGGCTGTATGGTGTGATGACCATGCCGCTGGAAGCGCTGAGCTTGAAGGACAGGTCTTCCCGGGACCAGGATCCCTCTAGGCCGCCTCCCTTTTCGTGGAACACAGGTAGACTGTGTGCTCGTAGAAGACCCTGTTCTTTCTCCTTCTCGCCGGGCTCACGGCTCATCTGGCTTTGGTGGGGCAACGGGATCAATTCGAGGACTCCATCCGCAAGGAGCTCGGCCCAGCGCGTAAGACCGGTTGATCGAGGGTACAGTGAGACAGGTAGTGTGACCATGGCAGTGGTCTGATGAGGAAACTGTCTGAGTATTGCTCGGAGATTGTGGAGAAACTGAAGAAACTCTTGGGGTTTGCAAGCTGAGGACGAGTATAGCGTAGGCGAGAGCAGACTGGGCACCACGATCCGGTGGACAGTTGAGGGAGGGGAGTTTCTGATCTTGGAAACCACATCGGCCACGAATCGCTTGAAGGGAATTTGCGGCGACGCTGAGAGAACATCTGCGCCGGGCATAGCATGAAGCTTGCCCTGGATGGCGCTGCTCTCCAGCCGCTTGGTGAGATCAAAGCTGTGGCAGAAGGTTCCTCCACCGGGTGTAGGTACTGAAGACGCCTTAGAATCTAGTAGTGGACCACGAGTTAGCGAAATTATAACGTGGACATGAGTCAAGGGTAGATATAATGACATACCTGGGACCGACGGGTTTCTGGCTTGAGGGTTGCCAAACGTTTCATATCTCCATGCAATCTTCATCTTGTCGTCTGCTGGGGCATCCTTCTTACTGCTGCGGGACTTGCTTCCTCCATTAAGGTCAAGCGCTGGCAGCTCACGGCGCCAGTTGCTATCGTAACCCAGAACATGGACTTCATGTCCCTGCACCAGCCCCTCAGCAGCATAGTAGCGGAGCAAAGTGCCTCCAAAATCTGTCGTTCCGGCCTCTTCAATAAGAAGTGATGTGCCTAGGGGAAACCCAGAATGCCCAGCTAGTAGTTGGTCGAGCGATGAGGTGCCTGTCGATGTAGTGAGCCGTCCATCGAGAGGCGACGGCCTTATACCTGGAGCCAGGGCTTTGTCTTTTCGGGGGGCAGCAGAAGCTGATGTGCCGTTGCCTGTGCCTCCAATAACGACGTTCCTCTTACGGAAAGACATTGTGACGGGCAGGTGTTGAAATGGACAGACAGAATGGCCTGAATCTCCTACCACGTACTGTAAAAATAGCTAGTCTACTCAACAAAAGCCTGGCGAAAAAGACTCCTCTGCGTCTCTGGTTCTGATTTTCATCTTGGTGGGGTTGGCGCTGTGAAGTGGGATGTACCCCGATTCAGCAATATGCAAGTATCTCAAACTCAAGCTTAGAAGCTCCGCCCCTCCAAATAAATTTCATCATACCGAGACAAAGAGAATAACCTTGCCCTTCACTGCCGATTGCGCCCCCAACACGCCAAATACACACCTCGAGAGCCCAAAACCCCCGTCTCCTTCGATCCTCGCCTAGATACCCCAGAAAATCCCAATTCAAAATGTCCGGCGGAGCAGACGCAACCCTCTTTGAGGACCGGTTCCAGGTCACCGACTACGACCAGTCCAAGTACGACCGGGTCGCGCGCATCCAGTGCATCTCGGCCGACAACCAGACCGAGATGACCCTCGACATCAACATCGAGCTGTTCCCCTGCGCCGTCGGCGACACCCTGCTCGTCGTCATGGCCACCACCCTCAACCACGACGGCACCAAGGACGACGACAAGGGCTGGCGCGACACCAGCAAGCTGCCCGACGCCCCCTCCACCATCGCCGACGCCTACGACTACGTGTGCTACGGCAAGATCTACAAGTTCGAGGAGACCTTTGACGGAGAGAAGATGTGAGTGTTCCCCCCCTAAACTTTGACCCAGCTTGCTGGTCCTTGACCATGGTAAACTGACTGGATTGTGATTGCAGCAACGCCTACATGTCCTACGGAGGCCTTCTCATGTCACTCAGCGGCCCAATTAAGAAGCTCACACCTCTGCGAGTCGACTACGTCTACCTCATTGTTAAGAAATAGAGAGCCCAAAAACAAAACAAAGAAACCAAAAGGAATTAACCCGATGAACACCGGAAAGAGAAAAAAAGTTACTGGAAGACCAGATAGGCTGGTCATTTGAATATTCCCAAGCGTGTAAACTTTGCAATTTTAATAATAGAAAGGCTGGGGAGATCCACCGTCATATATATACAAGCAAATACCATGCAGAATGTAGAAAGCTGAAGTAAGTACAGATGGTCTTCTTATCCCGACATGCTCAGCCAAGTGAATGGATGGAATGGAACTTCTTTCTGAGCTTGTTTCCCTGACCCCTTGGACCGTGTGCCTTTACGACTGGGTCTGCTTCGTATTATGTGGCCCTGGGAAGGGCATCTCGCGGTGTATTCTGCTCTGAATATCTTTGATGGCGGGTTCATTCTCGTCCGTCAGAACGCCCCTCCGGATGAGGAAATCTATAACGCAGAGGGCACAGTTTGACTTGTACTCCCCATTTTCTAGGCTCTTCCTGGTGTCATTAACATCGGAAAGGAAAAACTCGGCAACTTCACCGTCCTTGGGTATCGGGATGACATCCTTGGGCAGCTCCAGCTCGTAGACCCACTGGCACTCGGGGTAGATGAAGCCACCCTCCCCTACCTGCTTCTCGTCGGTAATGTAGATGTAGGTGACGTTCCCGACGAATCTGGCCCCCGATCGCACCACCTCCTCCGGCAGACTGGCTTCCTCGTCGGCCTCCCGGACCAGACACTCAAACGGGTCCTCACCGGTGCAGAGACCTCCGGCTACAGTATTGTCCAGCATGTTGGGGAACGTGGACTTGTCAGGTGCTCGCCGGGGAACCCAAAACTTGAAGCCAAACGGGGCGGTCTCGTCCTTGATATAGGCGATCATGTGCACCCCGTACCTCATGGTGCCAAAGAGACCCATGGCCGCGCGCTCTATGCTGAACAGCAGCTCGCCCTTGCGGCTGTAGACGGGCCAGACCTCGTTCCTCCAGCCCTTGAGGAGCTTGAACGTCTCCTTATCCCGCCAGTACTCGGCCAGTTTGGCTACCTGGGCTGAGCGCTCCTCCTCAGTCTCGAGGTTCCCAAAGAGCTTGATGGTGCGGTTTTTCAGGTTGAAGTCCATCTCGCCCTTGATGCGGACCGGGACCCGGAGAAGCTCCTTGTAGACTCGGTCAAGAATGTATCCAATGGGATATGAGCCATTCTCATCGTCCCAGACCAGAGTCCAGATGTCATCCTGCCAACGCTTGTAGCCCTCTGGGTCTGTCTCTGGGTATGGGAACCTATCGACATGCCATGATCAGTTCCAAGTTCCCGAGACGGTCAAGAATGCTTCCCCATACCCATCGACATCATGGATCAGCTCGAGATTGGTCTTCATTGCGAATCTATCCCTGGCTGTGCTATGATACACACGGCAGAATGGGGAAATGGCGGGGTATTTCTGGTCGTTGGAGGCTGTCCTGGGAATAAGAAATGAGCGTGAGCCACTTTTATAAGTCAGTTGTACAGCACACGATTGCGCTTTCCGTGCCGAGAGCAGCAGCTTCAATGCCGTCTGTTCGAATTTGTGCAGGTACTTCATATACATAAAGGGCCTGCTTATCCCCACTGCCTCACTCGCTCCATGGTAGGAACACCTACATGGTAGTTGAGAAAGCCTCCCCTTGACCAAGCACCCCTCCAATTGATGCTGCTCGTTCCTATTCTGGTAACACGGCACCTGCCGCCCCACTTGATGGAATTCTACATCCTTCCATCACTCACAGACAAGATCGCATGCGCTCAAAGCCTTCTCTCACGGCCTGTCTTATACCACAGTCTTGTCTTACTCTCTCTTTGCTTTCTATCTTATCATATCTCACCTCATAGCCAACACGCGGATTCTCCAAACCCTCGCGCCCAACTCGCGCCCACTCAATTGGCTTTCAAAGTGGTGCGCATCCGCCCACCACTGTCTCAACCGCACGCCTCCCTGTCTCATAGAAACGCAGGAACAAGACAAGACAAGAGACAAAAAAGGGACACACACCAAGAAAACAAAGCAATGGCAGACCCCCTCTTCGGCATCGTCCCCGCCGGCCTGCCCCTCATCACATCCCCCTCCCAGTCCCCCTCGCCCACGTCCCTCCTCTACGCCCTCCCCACCTCAAAACACTTCACCCACATCACCGTCCTCCTCCTCCCCAGCGTGTCCCTGCCGCCCGGAACCGCCGCGGCCATCTACCTCGCCACCGCCCAGGACGTCGTCGCTAACGGCGGGGCCGCCAAGTTCCGCTTCCTCGGCGCCATCGGCCCGGGGAAAGAGAGCGCCGTCTTCAAGATCTCCTCGGCTGAGACACCGGGTGGGCTCGTCCTCGGCGTCGAGATCGAGCCCGAGGACGCCGTCGCCCGCCAGATGCAGGAGCTCGCCGCCTCGAGGCAACAGGGAGGAGGAGGAGGAGCCGGTGGTACAGGCCAGCCACCCACAGCCGTGCTCGCCCAGCGCATCATCCAGAACGCCTTCAACTTCCTCACCAGCTTCAGCGGCACCGCGGGGCCCGGCGGCGTCGAGGTCGTGCCGCTTAAGGCGTTCGAGGAGTGGTGGAAGAAGTTTGAGTCTCGCGTCCGGGCGGACCCGAGCTTTCTCGAGAAGCAGTCTGACTGAGACTCGGTTCTCAAAGTCAATTTATTTACCTACGATCTGTACATATACATCTGCATATATATATATTTGTTTGCCATATAATGAAAGTTAATCATGATACCCAGTTCTTGCACCTGCCTCACAATCTAGATTACAAAGATGATGAAGATCAATGATTGTCCATGTGGATTGTTTATATAATTTGTATTCGTGTTTGGAATTTGAGTATTAAAGAGGACGGATTGCTCACACCATACACCGGACTGTTACCTATCCTGCGCGGAACAAAACACTAGATATACCCCAATTGTATAGACAGCTTGGCTTTCCTGCCAATCCATACACCATTGAAACAAGAAAACACCACCATTAAATCCGTGCAGCCGTCATAACTGCTAAAAATATTAATCGTTCAACACCGACCAGGTGCCGCTGCACCATAGAACCCGGAAACGCCTAAAATATGCTCTGTGCTCCAGAAAATGAATATGTTTTGTGTGTATATATATGTCCCGCTTATAATTCCTGCTCGATTGGTGACATGATGGAGCTCTTCTGTCTCTGGGGGCTGGCAGCCCTGCTGCGTCGGCCAACATTCGCGATTCGCTCCCGACTGTCTGTCCGGACAGAGAGTCCTTGTCTGTCAAAGGCGGAAGGGGGTCGAAGGTCGTCGTGGAAGGCAGTCAACCTTGGAGTTGTCAGTCCAGATGCCACTCCAGCTCGGTTGCCCTCACTGGTCTCGGAAGAGTCGTCGTCGTCAGAATCTCCACCACCGAGCTCGAATTCGGGGACATCGCCTTCTTCCATGACCCTTTCGTAGGCGTGGGGATGCCTTCCCAAGAGTTTGTTGGCCAACGACATGCCTGGGAAGGTCCTAACAGGCCTGCGACTGGAGCTTGATCGACGACGACGGGCAATGTTCATCAGCTTGCGTCTCCTCTCGGGCTTTCTCAATAACAACCCGGCGAGGATTAACAGGAAGATAACAGCAGCCAAGCCAGACCAGTGGTTCGAGGGGGCCCGCAGGTTGTCGTCATCATCCTCATGACCATCAACCGCGGGGAGAAGAGGGACGGAGCCGGCCTCTTCAAAATCAACCGGGGTGCCAGATTCAACATTGGAGCCAATTCCCACTGGGAGAGGAGTTCCCTCAGCTGGAACTTGACCCGATGCATAAAGAACCATTTTGCCCAGCGTCCAGCTCAACTCAACATCATCAATCTTGTTCACAGGACGGAAAGCACCCTCCTGATCGTGATCTACCGAGTGTGTGTGATTCGAGCCATGGCCGGACTCAAGCCCAATGCGTGGAATTCCAATACCCTCGTAGAGCATATTGATGAGCCAAGATGCTTTAAAACACGCCTGTCGTGCGTCCACCGCTTTTCTATTGGGGGATGCCGACCGGCCTTCAAGGTCATGCTCGATGGAAGCCCACTCCCTCGTGCAGTAATCCTTGACACTCTTCTGATACGTCTCCAGATCAAAGGTGTCCTTCTTGTCACCAAAAACACCGTGAGTAGTGTGCCAGTACTCAGAGACTCCAACAAAGTGGTTCGTATCGAAATCGATCGCAGGGACGTGCTGACCGTTCAGGAGACAAGGATCGTCGTTGCAAGGAGCATCCTTGCCCAGCAGAGGATGCGTTTTGCGAAGACATTCACTGAAGTCACCAGTGCCGATCAATGATTTCCCGTCCTGCCCGGCATCGCCAGCGAGAAGCTCGCCTTCCAATGTTGTTCGTAGTCCACGAGGTAAGCAGGGGTCGGGTAGTTCGTTGACATTTTGGTCGAATTCCTCCTTGAGACTCTCGATGTACCGATCCCTGGCCTTGTTTGCGCCGAAGCCCAGCCAAGTTGTTGTGAAAACCCTGTACTCCGCGGGTGTGCCGTCAAGATGCCTCATTCGTACTAACTTGAGATCATTGGCGTGTTTCTCCGCTTCGGTAGAGTTAGGGGCAAATGCAATCTGAGCTGACGCGCCTCCCATATCCAGGAAGCCGTATGTGTGGTGGTGGTTCTGTCCGGGCTTTTGGTCTTCACCTTCTGGATGGTCAAATCCTCCCAGCAGGTAATTGGCTGCAATCCACCCATAGAGTCCTTCAGTTTCACCGGAAATCACCTTGATATGGGAACCACAGTCTGGAAGCTCAAACTGAGTGTTCGACTTGAGCCAGGTGCAGATGCCCTCCAGCAGAGCCGTCTGCTCGGGCTTGGGGAGGAAGCGGACGCCAGCGGTAGCCAAGAGGAAGATGGGGGTCTCGGGGATTTTCTCCTTGGGTATCTCGGCGAGGGCAACATCGACAAGCTCCTGGAGATGGTCGTTGCCCACAGAAGCGACAGTTTGTGAAAAGGTCGAGACGCCGGGATGAATCTTCTTGCTCGTCTTGAGCTTCAGCTTCGGTAGTCGGTGCAGATCCTCGCTATCGGTTTTGCTCTGGTTCCGGGCGGGATTCTTCCACTTGTAGACGTAGAGACGGGTTCCCGAGGAACCAGCGTCCAAGATGACACCATACTGGGCTACATTGGTGACCAAATGTCAGTGTTTGCTCAGAAACAATGGGGGATGCTTCGCGATAAGTGAGGTGAGAATGTCACATACAGTGTTTTCCCATTGGGGGCACGGGGGCTCCTGCCGAGGCGTTGAGTGAGGTCGTGGTTGAAGATCGAGTAACCAGAGATTGCGATCCTTTAATATGCCAAGCGTTTCTGGTTCGAGGGGAGGGACAATCGCCGAAAGCAAGAAAGAACGAGTGTTGATATTCGAGCCGCAAATTCAATGTCCTCGGTTCGATGAAGGGTTGTCGCGTCAATCAGCCCTGCGGTAGGCGAAATGGGTAGAAGGGCGAGGCGCGAGAAATTGAGAGATGAATTCAATATTAGGTAGGTAGGTGAGGGACAGCTAAGATTAAAGACGCCACAGGGGTGGGCTAAGCGAGGGATTTGACTAGGCCGTGCGACTAGCAAATGCAATAGCAGATAAGTGTCCAGAGAAGAAATGGAACACACAGGGGAAATAGAGTCGAAGCGATGGGTCTGGTTCTGGATCACAGAAAGGCGCAGAAGCGAGCGTGGAACACGATTGTGTCTGAGGACTAGATGGGCCGACGAGAAGAAACGAGAAAAGGTTTTGGCTGGTTACGGCTGGGCTCGTTGTTTTGGATTGAGTTGCGCGAGGCAATGTAACCAAACGGGGAGTGGATCGTCGGTGCCATTACTGAGCCTGAGACTAGCAGACGGTAACGTACCTCGCAGGGGGAGGCAGGTATCGGACAAGTACCGCTTTGCCCTTATCTTGCGTGGCCTGGTACTTGCCCAGTTTCAGACAGTGGTGATCAGGGGCCCCATCCACTGGCCACTAGACGCTGCCGGCAGGCTGTCAGTAGCGCAGCAGCCCGGAATCATTGGCCACTATTGCGCCCTTAGGGGGCGAAGCGATAAGGCCATCGACGCCACCTGCCACCTCCAGAGTCTCGTATCGCACTATCTCATGCAATACACTAGCCGTTTTCGGGCTGCTGGCCGCCGCGACTCCCGCGCTTCTCCAATGTACATCCCAGGTACTGGCTTACGTATTGAGCTGTTTTTCTTGCCCAGCCAATGACGCCACCGCACAGGTTCGTTCCGTCTCATAATTGTGCAGTCAGCAGATACGATACGAGGGGAAAATGCCATGCAAGTGGAGAAATGAGACATCTGATGGGAGAGTGGTTATGAGCATGCCACTTCCTACGATGATGAGAAAAACTCAGCGGTCTAATACGAAGCGATATAATACGAAATAAAGTAGCAGTATGTACTGTATTGTCTCTCCAGTATGCATCATTGGCCCGCAATGATCTGACAATATCAGTCGCAAAGTCGAACTTGAGCAGCTTCATGTTTGTGTCTCAATCTCGATGTCACCCAATTGACAGGTTGTCCCGCAACAGGGATCCCGGCAACACAGCGTGCAGTGATTACGATTGCAGTGGGATGACGTTTGCTTCCCCAGTCAGACGTCGGATTTGAATTATCCTTGACTATCACTAAGCTTTTGTGTGCCGAGCCCAGGTGAGTCACGGAACGCTTCAGATGGGAGAGTGCATGCAGGATGCCAAGACTTTGATTGGACCTGTTCTACTGGAAGCAACCATCTTTGTACGGAAGTACATAAGTTTGCTTTATTCTATCAAAGGGCAACATGGGAAAATGAAAACTCCTCTCTTTCTCTCGTACTAGTGCTGTGGTGGCTTTAGACGTTGCCGCACAGCCACCCCTGTCATCGTGGCGGTGGTTGAGACTAAATTCATGGTGCAAGCCGCGGGCTAGACCTCGATTTAAATATAGATGTATATGCCCTTAAACATGTCGATCTCGAGTCTAGAAGTCGATGTAGAGCTGTCTCTCGTTAGTGCAGTGGTGCCTGAACGCTCATGCAGGCTGTTGATCCACTCTGTGTTTTCCTGCTCTAGATCTTCATGGCCTTGCAGCTAGCGGTTCACCAGTGAGCGCCGTCTCCACTGGGCGACGTTGAGGTGCAACATCCAAATAAACCACAATCCCATCCCTCATGAGCATTCCCGAGTTCTGCAGTTCCATAGCCAGTATCTCCAAAAATCACCGGCCTGGACGAAAGCGCATGCGGACGGAGCGTTTCGCCTTGTTTCACATTCCTCGCATTGTCGGAATGACGAATTTGTCCCCACAGCTTGGTCCGTTCCCAGCGCCGCCACAGCTTAATTCTACCTGATCTGCGTTTGCCTTCCTCATGTAGGCCGCTTTTGGCATTGACAGGTGTTTTTCCCACAGAAAAATGGCCTTTCCTTGCCTTGTCGCCGGGAGATCCGGGAAATGGGTGTGATCTGAGAGCCTCTCGTCGCTTCCCCAGCTTATCCGGGTGTAATGTTGGATTTTTGGTAGCTTTGATGCTCAGCAGATGCTCGAATAAATTGGCTTCCATGAGTGATTCGGATCGCCTCTAGGTTAGCTGGCCGGATGAAAATTTCAAGCCTCTTTCGCAATGGAAGAGAAACGTGATTTGATTTGCCTCAAGGCCTAAGAACTAGATTGGTATTTATGATTTTCCTTCGTGATAGAAGAGAACAGATCAAGATGCGGGGGTTATGTGTTTATGGCCAACGGCGGCCTTTCTTGCAAATACCAGACCAAGACAATAGAATACGTGTAGCAAAAGCGGACAAAGGACGAACAACAGAGTTGCTGCCTGTCATTCTCAACCCAACTCAACATCAAGCCCTTCTATTTCACAAAGCCCAAAGACAACATTACAAAGGACATATGTTGCAGCTCATTGGAAAGAGGATCTTTCAGGTTCCAGCCCAGTGACTTCGGAGATTGCCCTCTTGTTTTGATCGGTGGCAGACATAGACCTATAGCCTTTGTTGCTGTGCATTCATGTTGGTAGCGGTAGTTAAGGGGCCATACTTTCCCTTGGTAGTTATACCATAGGGAGGCAAAGCTCCGCGGCCATATGCAAAGCTTTGTGGATGCCCTTGGGGAGATGGGGCAGAGTTGATTGACGATTGATTGCCTCTTTGTCTCACGCTGAACGGCATAGATGCTCCATGTAACTCATCTGGTGCTGTTAAGAATCAATATTGTTAATTTGAGACACTGATGGTACTTACTTCCTCGGGGCTGCACCAGTGATTGTTTGTCCCACCCCCCGTGCCCTCTATGAGTTGCTCGGGGAAGGGACGAGTTCATGGATGCAATGGACTCATATCCGTGCCCAGAGCTGAGCCCACCCGGATGGTTTTGGACCTTTCTAGGACCTCTGTCCTGTAAGGCCCCATCCACAATCTGTGGTGGTATACGGCCTGTATTCTGCAGATCGGAGTCGACGGCCGCTGAGGCAGCCTGCTGAAGTTGTCCCAGCTCAATTTTTCTCTTTTCCTTGTCATGCGCTTCCTGCGTTTGCAGTAGCTTTCGACATTTGTCCTTATGCATACGCGCAAGATCCTCGTTCTTTTGCTGTAAAAACTCGTATTCGGAGATGGTTGCTATGCCGAGCAAGAATACATTAGCATACGAGACTCCTCATGTCACATATCATGAATAGAAGACGCGCACTCTGTAACTTGCTTTGCAGGCTGCTGATCGTCGAATTCGCTTCGGTCGTTCTCCTTTCTAGTTCGGCCGCAAGCGCCGAATATTTATCTACCATGGTTTGATAGAGATGTCGCTGAAAGTGCATCTCCTGAGTGGCCTGGTACGCCCAAAAGCTCAGCGCCCGTCCAGCGCACTCCATGACAGTGCTCGGACTCAAGCCACTCAGAATACTCGTTTTGTAATCATCACTCGGATTTAGGTGGGTGATGACAGCGTCGTCTTGGCCCGGCAAGTCAGCCCTGCATGCTGGGCAGATATGGTGCCTTCCGGTTCCCGGTAGTATTGCCCCGTTGGCTTCTACAAACCCGAATTGACGTGCACAAGGCAGGCAGAAATTGTGACTAAAAGGTACTCGAGCGCCCGCATTAGTAAAGATGATTGTACACGCGGATGCGATGGAACATACCTGCATGTTGTAACGAGAGCACGCTCGGTGAGCTCAGTTCTGCATTTCAGATTGTTGCAAAGCAGCGGATGGTCCATCATCCCGTAAGGCCACAGTATGTGCCGAAATGAGCGACGGATTGATGGCCAATCTAGGTGAATGTGATTCGATAATGCTCATTGCCCATGGACCCATTGGAATGGGAAAGCTGGGTGATTGACCAGAGAAGTGAAGTTCGTATCTCATGCACGTTCATCGGGAAGGTGCACCACGACGTTCTTGCGCTTATCAGGACCCTGGAGCCGTCCATGCCTGCCCGCATCTAGAAGTGCAGAGAAGCACTGGCTCTGCCTCTGTTGCTTTTGGAAAGAGAGGCAAGCCACACCTTCCCCCTACGAGTAACTACAGCCTGATCAGGCTCAGGAGAACGAGAGATAAGGCAATGCAGCCCGTATCTCATGCCGCGGATACTTGGTACTTGCTAGTTTCATTGAAAGGTGATGGAGGGTTTGGAAAGTGTCTCATGTTGCTCCTTCAGCCCCTCTGCTCCGACTTACGCGTAGATAGCCCGGTCAGTCCCTTGCCCTTGGGAGGCACTCGGGAGGCACTCGGCTTTGTCTGACTTCTCCGAGGACTGGATGTCTCCTCCTCCTGGCAAGTTCCTCTCGCATCGTGTCTTGCATCATTTCGCGGTCAATAATCTAAAGATTCTCCATAGATCGACTCGCATGAATAAGGCATTTCACGGGAGATTTGCTCTACCGGATCTGCTCAGGGAGGAAGCCTGATCACCACCGTCGAGCCACCAACAAACCCAAATATATACTCGGTCACCGACGGCTGACATGGGCCTTCCCCTTGACCCAGAAACGGACGCCCGCCCTGAACAAGATGAAAAACCCGACTATTGAGCTTCGGTCAAGGAAATTACATTCAAGTCCGGGCTTGCCTGGTCCCGAAGGCTCTCCGACAGATAGTGAAGCAAAGCGGATCAAGTCAAAGCTGCGAAAAGCAACGAAAAGACCACCCACGGTGTCTCGATAGTGAGAAGCCGTAAGACTCGTCAAGATCGACTGGCCTGTCGACGGCCCACCGGTAAGGTGGTGGGCGTTAGCGAGAGTGTAGAACGACCTACACCTGATTTGCCAGAACGAGCAGCGACCTACATGGTAAGGACGCCACAGCGACGGTAAGGACACCGCAGCGATGCCTTGCCGACCGCCGGTGATGAGCGATCTGGCATTGTGCATTATGATCCGCGGCCAGAGCGCAGAGTCGGTGCGTCACTTCCATACTGTCGGTTCAGAAACTGCTCCTAATCGTGCAGAGACTCCGTTGATACAGTGACATGGAAATCCCTCCATAGCACGTGGAAAGGCGACATGCCGCACAGATCCATCCGTCTGAGCTCAATGTGCGTCCACGCCAGCTGAGAGGGCTGAAAAGGAGACTAAGAAACCGACATCTGCGACAGGAGAAGACTGTCATCGTGTCCGTGCCGTCGGCCTGGGCCCGATCCAAGGGACATCGTTGTTTCTAGCCTTGTCATCTGCTCACGAGCCTTGGGCCTCAAACAAACTCAACTTAACTTAACGCCCACCTCCTCCAAGTCGTAACGGGGTTGTGCCTGTGACAATTGCTCGCGAGGTACGCCTGCTTTGGGGAAGGGAATCGTCGCCTCGGTCCACTTTTCACCGGTATCAACTTGGCGGCCAACACGAGACGGTACGGATGTCATCAGAGAGTTAGCCTTAGCTCGAGACTCCCACAAGCGAGACCCATCTTCGAGGCTGCCCGTGGAAGCTGTGGAGATGTCAAGCTGCAACGCCTTCGGTTCCTGGCCAAGCGCTTCCTTGTACGTCCTCACCTGCAGCTCTACCCCACCAAGCTACACTTGCTCGGTAGTCTCCTCCGTCCCCACCCCCGTTATTCGAGGCCTTACACACTCCAAGAACTCCAACCTGACAAGTGGGTGACATGAGAAATGAGACACTCCAACATTAAGCTGCTTATTCTCGAGTCCGTGGCCGGTATTATAAGATTATTGAGTACTAATAATACAAACTTCAGAGATAATACGACATATATTATCACTATATTTTATTCTATACTACTGTATTTCTCGATTCAAATTAGAAGAGAGTCTCTTTATAACCATTCCATTTCGTGTCTCAGTTCTCAAGTCACCCACTTGCCTGAACACTTGGTGAATGTGCCTGACCTAACCGCCCACTCCCTCTTATACCCGTACCCTCCTTCCGTTTCACCATCCTCGGCCTCAGTTCCCAATACGGCTCCCGATGGAGGGGGGTAAGCTGCGAATGGGCAAGCTTCATCTGACCCCCTCCCCTGGACACACGTAGGGATGCATCCTACCCCCCCTCCCCCCGGTCTAAGCTTACCGGCTCTTCGGGGCCAAGGCCCGTCTACCCTTCAGCGTACTTTGCCTCCGTGCCTTCGTTCCTGAAGTTTATGCTGGTCTTGCCGCGTAGCCTACGTACCTTGCCTTTTGCTTTGCAAAACGGCAGCTCTCACACCGATCGGCGGGCATGTGAGGAGAATCAAAGTGACATTCCCTTTGCCCGGCCAAGAAAAAAAAAATCCGGGGAAGCGAACAAATTTCCCTTTTCAAGAATCGTCTTGCAAATAGTTCCCCGAGCTAACGGGAGGAGCCTACTAAGCTGAGAAGGCAAATCGTAAATCTATCTCTCAGCCCGTCGAGTAAAAAAACGTGGGTACGGCGTGTCTTTGGTCCTCTCTCCCCCCCCTGCCCCCTTGCCAGCTGGCAAGGGGAGCCCTGAGATTAAACCTGAGACGTGGGTGCCCGCTTATTGCCGCTTCAATCGGAACGGAGAACGAGAAATGACCTCTTAGCCCCCCAGAGCTTCACGAAAGGCTAACGAAGATGTTTGTTTCAGTCCCCTGTCTCGCCCAGTGTTTGTGTGAATTGTTTCCGACGATTGATGATGTTTGATGATGTAAAGCTGCCTCAGTCTTATTTTTTTCGTAAACTATCGTGATAAGTTTCACTCTGCAGAGGAGTCTTCCAAACCCCTTGCCATCTAGCTGCCCCCAAAGTCCTTTGGTTTGCTGCTGCCACAGAACGCCATGCTTCACCCCCAGTCAAGTGGGATAGAACCCACGTAGGAGGTAAAAATGATAACATGAAAAAGGAAAAAAGCCAAACAAAAACAAAAAACAAAACCATACAAGAATAGATCACCCCGCCAATTACTACTAATAGATAAGTATACAAAGTTTTAAGGGGTGGGGAATCAGCTTTCCCCTACCCGTTATTGCGTCCACATCGTCCCCTCCATCATGGCCTCTTGGCCACCTAGCGCGCTGTAGTCGATGGCCAGCATGCCCTCGTCAATCTCGCACATGCCGTTGGTCGTGGCCATTGAAATTTGGTTGCCCGGGGCCCAGCAGTTGCCGCTGTCCAGGTCCCAGATGCCAGGCTGGTCCAGGAAGCCGACCATGTCGTCGGTGTCAATCCCAATCGGTGAGAGGTGAAACTCATCGGCGCTAGCCAAGAGGTTTGGGTCCGTAGTCACCTGCAGCTGGCTGTCACCCCGCATGACTGAGGGCTGGCGGCTCGCCTCGTACATTCGCCAGACCACCTCGTGGCTGCGGCGTGCTGCAAGGGACCAGTCCTCCATGGATTTTAGCAGCCCCAGAATTGTTTCGATTTGTTTCTGCCACTCGGGGACCTGCATGCTGTTCCACTCCCAGAAGATGCTGACCAGGGGAATCATGGCAGCCTGGTAGAGGAAGGTCACTGCATTCCAGCCCGACATTTGGTTGCGAGTCCACTCGCGGGAGATGTCCTCGACAGTGGCCTTGGCCATCTCTCTGCAGGTCTCCAGGGAAGCGAGGTCCTGCTCGGCCATCTGTGGGCCCATGCCGTTGTTGGCCATCGCCAATAGCACAGGGCGGTGCAGCAGCATGCGGAGGTTCTGATACCGCCACTTCATAATGCAGCGAGCAATGTAAAGGGGCTCCGCGCAAGGGTCTGTCGTGCGTAGAAGCCATGGAAGGTTGTTGTACCAGTTAAGGAGCTTGTTGTCCATATTGCATCGATCGTCGGCCCTCAGCAGGGGTGTGATGGCAAGCATGTCCTGAATCTGCGTCGCAATCTTGCAGAACTTGATGTTCTCAATCAGAGGAAGGATACCTGCGCGGTGGGCCGAGTCTCGTTGGCCAGCACTGAACTCGGGTGGCTGGGTGTTGATCGCAGGGCCCCATCGTCCGAACGAAGGTCGGCCCATTGTTGTTGTTGCCCAGGTGTCGACGCAGAACAAGGACCACCAGGTTCGTCGTCGAGTCTCGGCTGCTGCGACATCGCAGGCCCCTTGGGTGATTGACTCTCGGTAAAGTCCAAGCGTGCTTGCCATGCGGATTGCCGCCCCGAGAATGGAGTTGGCCATGTTGGGCCTATTAATGTAGTGGAGATAGTAGCCTCCGATGATGATCAAGGCCTGTACAGTCTCGATGTGGCTGTTGCCGAGGGAATCGATCGTAACGTGTTCCATTGCCCTGTTGTAGTAGTTGATGTGGTTGAAGTCATCCGATTTCATGGCGACAATGCTTCCCATGGCGAAGACCATGTTCAACAAAGCGAGCCACGAAGCGTCACAGCGCTGGCCTTCCAAGTAATCAGTTCGGAATGCGGCCTCGTCGAGCATAGGGACGAAGACATGGATTCGCTTGAAGTACGCGTCGATGAGAGTCTGTCCTTTCCATGACCAGGGGATCCGGGACGAATCTTTGGGAGCGGCGGGTGGCTGTCGGATGACTGGGAAGTTGTTGGCCATCTCGACGCTGTTCAGGGGAGGTGCCAGGGAGTGTCGAAGCTGCGGCTGTACCTTGAGCATCACCATCAGGGCGGCCTTGATGGAAGATGCGCCCAAGTAGGATGCTTGTCGGTCCATAGACAAGACGCTGGGATCATCAACTTCGGAAGCGATGGATACTCTGCTCGACTCATCCTCTTCCCACTCAATGCCCTGGGTAGTGACTTGGTCAATGGGGGAAATGGTGGATTCGGAAACGTTGCACAAGCTCGGCTCCGGGCCTACAGGAGAAGTGTTGGGGG